ATCAATTAATTTTAGAGTAGGCCTGTCACCAAAATTTGTCCGGGCTAAAATTGGTCCGGGGGACTGATTTTGGCCGGCCAAAATCAGTCCTCCTTTGATAATATTGGTCCGGCCTGGCCAAATTTTGGCTTAGCCTAAACCGATCCGCCTACACCTATACGAGTTCGTACACAACCAATTACAGCACAGTGAGTGCTTACCTATCGGTCCGCATAGATTTTGAGGGAATGATCTTTCGGTGGGAAATTAGAAATTGAACGACCAATGAAAATGAAGGTGATGGGTGAAGTCCAATCTTGAGCTTATTATTTTTGCATACATCGCCGTATATAAGGCTACAGCAGCTGTATGCGAAGGAATTCATTTGATAGCAGAGGAAAGATTGAAAGATTGTGCTTTCTTTTTAGTTTGAGGGTGATGTACAGCTTACAAGGAAGATATAATTATTTGACATTTTAATAAGTCGATATCCATTAATTAAGCTGCTGAAAATAAGGAAAAAATAATGATCCAACAGCAGGGAATATCGTTGTATACAGTATATTATTATTCAACACACGGTTTAGAAGGGGGTATGGTGGTTTATTCTTGTCCCTGATAAAAAAAAAATAAATAAATAAAAATAAGAGAAAAAGAAGTAATTGGTAGCATGATACGCCTCAGAGGTTATTTTCGGTCGTCCAGAGAGTACAGGAAAGTACTGCTGTGGGAAGCATTAACTGGATATATGGACATACTCTATATATATATGTAGCTCTCTATACAATAATAATAATAATCTCCACCCAGGTTCTTTCAGCTACAAAATGAAACAGCAAGCAACAAATCATATGGAATTATAAAATACACTATTTATTAATACTACTGCTCACTCGTAAAACTCAATACTAACTACACTACTCTGCCAGCGCACATACCCAGGTTACTCACTCCAACCACAAAACCTATATACTGTATATATATATATATATATATATATATAAATGAATATAAAGTTGTCGGTTCAGGCAACGTATAGTGCTCGATGCTATGCAGAGCGGTATAATAATAATAATAAT